ACGTGGAGAAAACCACTGGAGCTCTGCAGAGGATGCAAGCCTGGCCACGCATAGAGGAAGGGACGCTGGACTGCGTCAGTGGAGGGAAGACCCCTCAGAGGAAGTAGAGCCGCAGTCCCCAACCTTTTTGGCACCAGGGTCTGGTTTCATGGAAGACTGTTTTTCAGGGACCAGATTAGGGGGAATGGTTTTGGGATGATTCAGGTACATTACATTTACTGTGCACTTTATTTCTATAAATATTACATTGTAATATATAATGAAACAATTATACAACTCACCATAATGTGAAATCAGTGGGAACCGTAAGCTCGTTTTCCTGCAACTAGGTGGTCTCATCTGGGGGTGACAGTCACTGGGAGCCAGTGACAGATCATCAGGCATTAGATTCTCATAAGGAAAGCACCATCTAGATTCCTGGCATGTGCACTTCACAATAGGATTCGAGCTCCTGTGAGAATCTAATGCCCCTGCTGATCTGACAGGAGGTGGAATCCAGGCTGAAAAGCTCTCCCAACGCTCACCTCCTGCTCTGCGGCCCGGTTCCTAACAGGTCATGGACCCATAATGGCCCACGGCCCTATGGCTGGGGATCCCTGAAGAAGAGAAACTAGCTTGGGACACAGGAATCATGAAACAGGCCTCCAAATAATCGGGAAAAACTCCCAGCATAGGTGGATGGCCAGAGAAGAGATAAGGACATGTAGTTTGCAACATAATTTCAGAAAACAGAGATGCTGTATCTTAAAGAAGGGGGTCTGTTATGCAAATATACCGTGGCCAAGAAGTTGCCATAAGCCCTCACCACACCCCTGTCTGGCCTGTTTTGACAGTCACAGTCTGCTCTTGTGAGAAGGAGCCAGGTGACGGAGGAGGCTCTTGGAACAGGAGAAGAGGAAGTTCTACCCAGTGGATGTCTGTGCAGAAAACTGCATCCAAGAGCCAAATTCAAAACAGGCTCAGTGTATACGGCCTGCCTGCGGAGGTGGTCTGTCTCAGCTGCACGAGTTGCAGAAACAAAACATACAGAGGCTCCCTGGGAGGACAGTGGAGCTTTGTGACCTCCAGACTGGAGTACTCACAGGCTATATCCAGAGCAGAGCAGGCAAGTTGATCCTCCAATGAGGACAAGGTGCTGCTATAAGGCTGGTGGCAGTCAGATAGGTCACGGTGAACTAAAGGAGTCAAGTAAACTTCATCCACGGAGTCCTCTGGCATTTCCTGCTCCTTCACCTCTGGCAGATCCTGGATCAACCTGGGGTAAAGATGACAGAAGATAAACAACAGAGAGAAGGAACACCACTGCGCCCAGCTGGTTCTATGGGGAGGCCCTCAGGAAGGCCCAGAGGAAACAAAGTACAGTCCCCTCAGGGAGATACAACCATCCTTCCCTGTCTTGAGCAGGAAACAGAGTGTGACAGGCTCTCAGTGCACTGGGTAGGCAATGAGCTGGGGAGGAAAGAGATGGAGTGATCCCGGTGGGAAACTGCCAGGACACAGTGCATTGGGCACTTTTGCATACATTTTGTTGAAATTAGCATCGGGAGCCAAATTAATACAGGCTCTTGAGTCTTCCCAGACAGAGTTCCTGTATCCTCAACATCTCTTGCTCTCAACATTGTAGCATGACAGAGTTATTTTCATTCACTTTTCTGCTGTCAAATACTTGTAAACATGGTAATGCCAAAGAGGCAGACATCAGATGTGCAGCTCAACTTCACTTAAGCAAAAAGGACAGAAAAGGGGACTGCAGAAAATGTCTCTGACTGATCAGTTCAACAGAGTTAACTGAATGCAGATTAGTAGAATTCGAAAAAATTAATAAAGAAGAAATACAAATACAGGTGTACAATGAAAAGAGTCAACCTTATCAATAGGGCTATTTCATGGTTGGCTGAACAGATGGAACAGGTATATTCTGCACACTCTGATTTTCCCTGCATCTGAGACTCCTCATATCAACACTGAATTAACTGTCCATGATTCCTCAGAGTTACCTGGGGCACGGTGGGTCTTGATCTTCTAGCTCCTCTTGATCCTTTTCAATTTCTGCAAATAAATTCAGACAGAGACAGACACATTAAGCAGGTTCTCCTACACACACAAACAATCCACTGTGCAGTCCTAACATAGGAACGTCAGTTTCCTCAGTGGGAGAACAGGACAATGTGAGAGAAATATTCCAGGAGGCCTGAGGTCCTGTCAAGAGAGAGATGCCTTGGTTTTCTTCCCTGAGCCTAGGAATGAAATCTCCCTGTTCTTGTAGATCGTTATCACAACATCAACCATCCTGAATTTGTGCAAATAGCTATGCAAAATTTTCACACCAATTCAAGGCAAACACCTCATCAACTTTCTAGAAGGAAAACTGCACTATTCAGCCTTCAGTCATCAAATACCCACATTGTTCATGGTGGCAAGGATTTTAGACACTGAAATTAGAATGAAGGAGAGAACATACACACCCTGAAATCAAAATGAATCTTTGGTACTACAAAGTGACATTGGCTGTTCATGACATCTAGGAGTGACAAGGCCCAGTCTTGTTTCTAGACACATAACAAAAGGTGATGTACTGCTCACCTAAAAAAGGCCCACATCAGAGACACAGAGAATCAGGCTAGGTTCTTTGAAACCTGGATAATATCTTTAAGGAAAAGTAGACAAAGATGCCACAGGCCTTGGGCTGGCATAGAATCTCAAGGGACATGGTTGTAGAAAGGAACTTGTAAGGAACTCAATAGCTGGCAAGACAAATCTTATTCAGATTAAGAGGCCTGACCGACACCTGTTGGGCACGTGCTGCGTAGGTTGGTTTGAATTTGTCAGTGTCGTGACAGTGGCCCAGGGTGACTCAGGCCTGGTCTGAGATGAGAAAGCGAGCAAAGCTCACTGACCCACCCCATGTCTGTGCTTCCAACTTGATTTTCGATTCTGATGCAAATCATCCTGTGTCTGTGAGTCATGCCCACCCCAATGACACGTCTCTGTCCAGCTAGGGGTGCAAGGATTACGGAGTCTACCTGGGACACCAATTGGAGATTTATTGTGGTCACAATGGGGTACTCACTGTCTACGAGAGCCAAAGTGACTTGCTTTTCTTCAAAACAGTACGAAGTGCTCCCATAAGGGCGGTAGGAGTGAGGTAGGTCAGGAAGGATGGAAGGAGTCAAGCAATATCCATCCAGTGACTCCTGGGGGACTTCATGCTTGTCCCCCCTCAGTGGTCCCCTGCTGAGCCTGTAAGGTAGGAAGGAGTAAGGATTAATCCAAGGAGTTTCAGAGCCCTGCTGGCTTCACGTGAGGCAGGAGGCAGTGATGGCAGAAATCAAATGGGTCAGCCCATTAAAGAGTTCAATATTCTCCTCTTCTCGGTGGGTCACAGTGTGGTTGTCATGGGGTAGGTTGCAATACAGACAGAGGGAAAGAGAGATGAGAGAGAGAAGTATCAGGAGCTCAGTGAAGTGGCCAGATCACGATTTTCTGAGGAAGGAGACTGAGTTTCTCTGTATGGTACAGTTGTGACTTACTGAATATCCTGTTCCATAACAGTGGCTTCATTCCTTTTTTTAAAATGGTATTAAATTTTATGTGTAGTGGCCAAGTAAACATAGCGTTTGAGGCATAATTATATCCCCAAACTCTCATGCCGTGAAGTCCTTCTTCTCTCATTATTATGTGTGGTATAGTAATAATTTTTTTCTACCCAATTTCCTTGCCTAGAAATGCTTAGCATTGTGTTAATGCAAAACTAGCAGAAAGCAGAAATGCATCTCAGGCTGGTTGAAAACGTAAGAAGGTAGCTGCTTTAAGGAAATCTCTGGGACTGATTAGTTTTTCACAAGATCAACTGGTTTTATGTACTGAACCTGAGAAGTTAACACGAAATGGCTAACAATGCAAGGATCACAATGAAAATGTAAAACATGGTTAGAAAGGATCATTTCTGGTTGGCTGAAAGGATGAAGTAGGTATATTCAGGACTTTCTGGTTTTCTGTGGATATTAGTTTCACAGGTATCACCCCTGAATAGACAGCCCCTGAATTTCTTTAATTACCTGGGATCAATTGTTTGTTTTCCTTTCATCTCTTCAAGATTATTTTGCTTTTCTGCAAGGAAATTAAGGGAAGACCAGTCACGTGAACTTCATCCCATTCATACATGCACAACCTTGTATCCAAACCTACCTAGGGGTATAAATATACTCGGTGTGATAACAGGCTATTGTGAGATAAACTTCAGGAGGCCTCAGGGTGAGCCTTGTGAGAAGTCACTAGGTGTGCTTTCCTGAGCCATGGAGCAAATCTCCCTGATACGACAGGTCATCATCACAGTCCCTTCTGTCCTGAGTCACAGCAAAATGTTAACCATATTCTATTTACTAACAGATCCTGGAAATCTACTTAAATGCTTCCTAGCAGGTTACTGCTGTGTTCAGTATGTTTCCTTCTGATAAGCTGTTTGGTGTTTTTGTAGAATGTACATTTAGAGGGACAGATTAAATTAAATGAATCTCTAATGCTACATGGAAACATAGGCCTTTCATGTGGCAGGGAGTTCCAGGGCCCAGCCTCCTTTCAGAAACATACAAAATCTAATAGTGGTGTCATGTTCTGGTACTCAGAGACTTCTTAGCTAAGACAAGCCTGCTAAAAGGGGAGGGAGTCTAGCCTGAGAGAAGTGAACGAGGGTAATGACAGCTCCAAGGATATATATAAGGCTGCCAGTGGCCTTGGACAGGCAGGGAAGCTCAGGTTGTTTGAGAAGGAAAATTAGAAGATTTCATGTGAGATGATAGATGAAATCTAAATCAGGAGGACTGGTGTATACATCCTGCACCCAGGCTGCAGAGGTGGGTATGAATTTTTCAGGTCAACCTTGGGTACAGTGATTTGCCAATGGGGCAAAGATGAAAGACAATGTGTGGTTTTGGAGGAGGATGGAGCAAAACTCTGACTCCTAGGATGCCTTCCTTCAAACTCAGTTCTAGAGCCTGGTTCTACCCGTGTATAAGCATAGTGTCTTCCTGAAGGTATGACATCTGTCATTATGGACAGATTGTGGGGTGCAAAGAATAGGGAGCCTACCTAGGAAGCCAAGTGGGGCTTCATCCCATTTGGAATTGGAGTAATCCCTGGCAACATCCTGAGCAGAGCAAACTTTCTCTTCATCCAGTGCCAAGAAAGTGACTTCATGATGCAGGTAAGAGTTGGATATATCATTGTGTCTAGAATGAGAAAAAACACATTCCTCTGGTAAGTCCTGCAGGACTCCCTTCTCGTCAGACTCCTGCACCCTCCTGATGAGCCGGGTAGGATAGGAACGACAGCAGATTAGATCAAGACAGACTCAACACCACAGCGTCTCAGGTGATTTGATAGGACACACAGGGAGTGGTCACAGAAAGCGAAGGAGGAGTCTCTTCAAGAGAGAAAACCCATCCTTCTAAATGTGGGGTGGATGTGACTGCCCTGGGAACAGAGCAAACTCGAGCAGCAGGTGCTCAGGGCACTTGCCACAAAGGAGTTGCTGCAGGAGACCCAGACTCTCCCTGTAAACTAGCAACATGACTTGCAGCAGAGAGAACTAACACGGGGCTTCACTTCCTTCACACAAATAGCGTTGACATTTACATGCAGCATCCAAGTGAACAGAGCTCTTGAGGCATTCCAGACACAGAGATGCTGTGTTTTTAAGTTCCCCCTTTTTCAAATTTGACATCATATCAAATTTTTATTTTTAATTTTCTCTCTTGCAATTATGTAGTTGCCAATATGCTGACACAAAACAGAGAGAAAGCAGATATGCATCTCACTCTGGATTAACCACATGGGAAACAACAGGTGAGATCAGGATATCCCTGAGTTTAGTCAGTTCACCTGGCTCAACTGATTGTCGGTTCCCATGCTTGAGAGGTGTTAAGAAATGAAAGCTATTCAAGTGCCATAATAAAGAAGACAACATTGTTAAGGGGGTAATTTGCAGTTGGATGAATGGATGAGACAATTCTATTCGTCACTCCCTATTTTCCCTGGATCCGTGGTGTCCAGGTGTCACTACTGAACTAACAGCCCACAAATCCACAGTTACCTGGGGAGCACTGGTGCTTTCCCCTCTTCTTCCTCACGATCATTTTGATTTTCTGTAAACAAATTCAGAAGAGCAGGTCACAGTAAGGAAATCACACTTCACACAAGCCGAAATCAGTGCCCAGTCATGGCGCAAGACATAAATATCCTCAGTGTAAGAATGTGACATTTTGACAGGAAGGTTGTAAGGCACCGTAAATTAAGTCTTGTCAGACGTAGATGAGCCTCCTTTCCAGGCCCATGGAACAAAATCTCCCTCGTCTGGCAGATCATAATCACCTGTCCTCGGACCTAAGTCTGCGCCAACAGTTAAAGAAAACTTTTCTCACAAGAATTCAAGAATTGCCCTAACTACTCTCCAGAAGTGTTGTTGCAATACCGATTTATCTTATCAAATATCATAGTCAATGAATGGTTAGAGAAATTTATATAGAAGACTGAACTGATGGATAAATTCTAACAACCCTTGCGTAAAAAAGGATCTGTGGTGCTACACAGATACATTGGCCACTCATGGGGTGAAGAAGGCAGAGCCCAGCTTTGTTTAGGGAAACTTATAAGCAAGATAAAGGTATAAGTGTTTATGTCCTGCTTTCAAGGTGACTGCTTAGCTGGGACAAACTGACCTAAAGGAGACCAAGGCTGGGGCTGAGAACAGTGAATCCAGAGAAACAACATCTCCAAATACACAGGCAAGACTGTCAGTGGCCTGTGACAGGCATAGAAACTCCATGGACATTGTTCAGGGACACTAATCATTATTGCATGTGACAAGAGACATAGGAACCGAGCCAGGAGGCCTGACAGCAACCTCCTGTACACAGATGGCTATGACTTTGTCACACCTACCTGTGGTCCAACATGCTGACATTGGGGCCAGGAAGACAAAGTCATGCCATGGGACAAGGAGGAGAGGAAAGTTCTCTGACCCTTGGATAAATGTGTGCAATATTCCCTCATAGTTTCTTTTCTTGCTTTCTGTGTGCAATATCCCATCACAGTTTCTTTTCTTTTCTTTCCCTTCCCTTCCTTTCTCTTTCTCTTTCTCTCTTTCTCTCTTTCTCTCTCTCTCTCTCTCTCTCTCTTTTTCTTTTTTTTTGAGACAGGGACTCTGACTGTCACTCAGGCTGGAGTGCAGTGGTGCAATTATGACTCACTGCAGCCTCTACCTCCTTGGTTCAGATGACTCCCCCCATCAGCCGCCCGGGTAGTTGCGATGACAAGCACGCACCACCATGCCTGGCTAATTTTTCATATTCTGTGTAAAGATTGGTTTCACCACATTTCCCAAGCTGGTCTTGAACTCCTGAACTTAAGTGACCCAACCACCTAAGCCTCACCAAGTGCTGGGATTACAGGTATGAGCCACTGCACCCAACTCTGTCTTAGTATGTAAATCAAACCAATATGTATGTATGTACCCTGTCCTCAGAATTGATCTTCCTCAGCCTACACAGAGGCAGGAGGGACAAAGAATAGAGAGGCTACCTGGGAGAATGTTTAGAGCTTCCTCCCCTTCATCATGAGAGAGTTCATTCTCTACAACCAGAGCAGAGTCAACTTTGTCTTCCTCAGATATGATTTTGGTGCTCCTGTGAGGCTGGGTGGAGTCAGATGGGTCGTGACTATTTGAACAAGTGACAGCACATTCCTCCAGTGAGTCCTGAGGGACTTCCTTTTCTTCAGCCATCTGCACCTCCCTGATGTGCCCAGTGGGATAGAAATGACAGAAGATTAAACCAAAAGGCATTGGACCCGAGGAAGTCCTACTGGTTTTGACAGGAGGCATAAGAGAGTGGTCTCAGAAAGCAAAGGGGAGTTTCCCTTTAAGAAGGAACAGATAATCCTCTCCTCTCTGCAACAGAGCAGAGAAAACCAGAGAGGAAATAGTGGCTGGTGATCATTGCACTGGGTAGATAGGAGTTGAGGACGGAGACTCAGCTGTCTCTGTATGGTACAGTCTTGAGAGCACACACAGAGACTAAAAACTGCTGCCACACGGTGTGTCTAAGCTGGGTTGTAGTTAACCTACTGTGGCCACAGGAATACAGGCCTTTGAGCCATTATAGACTCCAGAGATGGTGTGCCTTCTAAATTTATTTTTATTTTAATATTGTGACATGAAATGTAAATTTTTTGTCTAGGTACTTTTCTTTGTGTTCAACTTTGCTAGGTACTTCCTAATTCCTCTGCTTGTTGCCTCTCTGCCATTTATCTTTCCTTAAAAGAACATAAAGACAACTATGTAGAAAGCAGCTTTGCATCTCCTCCTGGCTTTCACTGCAGGGGAGAACAGGTCTCCTCTGTGTGTGCAGGAAGTCCCTTGGGCTGTGAGTTCATCTAGGGTCATGCTACGCGTACCATGAAGACAATGGACAAGCATGTTAACAGGGCTGTTTCCTTGCTGGGTGAGTGCGTGGAATCGGTGGACTCTGCAGCTTTCTTATCCTGCATCTGGAATCTGTGACTACCTTCACCCGCCTTGTGTTCTTTCTGAGACCCTTTACATGTTTTACCACCCATTACCCTCTGGTGATTATTCAGTGTTACCTGGGGGCAGGTGATTCCTGTACTTTCGCAATCTCCTCATCTTTCTCATCTTCATCCTCATCTTCATCATTCTCTGCAAATACAGAAGTGTCCATTCAGATATTTCCCACTTCACCTATGCAAGCACAGTGAGCCCTATGTGCACGGAGACATGAACATCTATATGTATGAGTCTGCATTGTACTGAAAGCTCTCGTGTTTTATCTTTAAGAAAATGCCCTGGAATGGTTTCCTGATGCATGAGGCAATGCGTTTCTGATCT